TCCTGGAACCTGAGGCACCCGCCCAGAATAGTAAGAGACTAACCTCCCCCTATCTCCTCCACAAACCCCACGCTCTTTCCAAAGCCCCATTCTTCCCTCCCCGAGAGGCTGCAGTCAGTCCGGACTCAGCCCACATGTAAGCACAGCATCAAATAAAGGCACTTGAATCAGATCATCCAGCTCCTCCTGCCTCTATCTCTAACACATTTCTACCAATATGGTGGTCAGGTTTTTCGGTGGGAAAATGTTCTCTTCTGTTATTGAAATCAGAGAAAAACAGCATTCATGTTTCCTGTCACAAACCAAACCCAATAAGCAGAGACAGAGACTGAATCTTTATGGGTACTTTATTCAAATGGCCAGCCATCTGAGAAGACAGTGGGGTTGTACCCTAACAGACTGTCTTACATTTCCTTCCAAGCCAGCCTTTTTAAAACAGAGAACAAGGTGTGGTGAGGGATATTGAAATTCAGGGAAAATTAGATTAAAAACTGCAACATTCTTGCCCTGGGTGGTTAGCTGTCCCCAGGCAGGCAGGTAGGTAGGCATCTCTCTCTCTCTAGAACACAGTGGCTTGATTGTCTCAACTGTGCCCCAGGAGGTCAGCTGTCTCTCCTGGGAGTGGGCCGTACCTACAGTTCCTGAAACAATAGTGATAGCGGACTCAAGCTTAGAAAATTTTACCTTAAGGTAAAAACTTATAAGTCTAGCAAGTAATGTGTATGTTAAGCTTTTGTTGCAGAAACTATAGATAAGACCCATCCTGGCTCCTGGGAATAGCAGCCAACCTCCTGGGGCACTGCTAAATATTACTGCCTAGGGACATCTGGACCTATGTTTCAGGGAGAGCAGACGACCACCCCTCTTGGGAACATTTAACTGCCCAGAACAGGAATGCTGCAGCTTCGCTCACCTAATCCTCCCTAAATCTCAAAGCCCTTGCTGCACCTTGTTTATTCTCCCCCACCTCCTTATAAAAGATCTGGCCAGAAAAGAGAAGGGGAAGATGGTTTGTTAGGGTATGAACCCTCCACCTTCTTGGATCGCCAGCCATCTGAATAAAGCGCCCATAAAAGATTCCATCACTATCATTGCTTATTGAATTTGGTAGTGACAGGCAGCCCAAACACCAGTGTCTTTTCTGGTTACAATAGCTTTAACATATGCATTACCTAGTAAGCGTATTAACTATTTACTAAAATTTTCAACTCTCGAGTCTCCTATCATTATGATTAAACCTGTCATGTTTTTGAAACAAAATCCCTAGACTATGAACTTCAAACATGTTCTTAGTATCGATTCCTCCTCTTTTGTCAAAGAGGACACCTGAAGGTCTCGGAGTGTCTGAAGTTTCTTTCCACAATCAGAAAAGGTTTTGGCAAAATTGCCTTTCTTTTGACAGACAGCCTAAGTTACAGAGAACAGAATGATTTGAGTATACATAAAATATTTCCCCTCATTTCCTGCCTAAGTCATGAGGCAAAAGTTTTCCCCCAGCTTATGGTGAGAACCTATTTAGACTCCTGTAGAAAAAAAATTCCTAAATTTTAGGATGCTACTTAAGACCGGACTTGAAACCAGAAAAGACACCAACCAACATTCGGGCTGCCTGTCACTACCAAACCCAATAAGCAATGACAGCAATTGAATCTTTACGGGAACATCATTCAGATGGCTGGCGATCTGAGAAGACGGCAGGTTCATAACCTAACAGACCATCTGTCTTCTCTTTCCAGGTCAGACTTTTTATAATGGGGAATAAACAAGGTGTGGCAAGGGCTTTGAGATTCAGGGAGGATTAGGTGAGCGAAGCTGCAACATTTCTGTCCTGGGCAGTTAGCTCTTCCCAGGGGCAGGTGGTTGTCTGTCTCTCCCTGGAACACAATGGCCCGGATGCCTCCACTTGTCCCCAGGCAGTAATCTTTAGCAGTGCCCCAGGAGGTTGGCTATTCTCCCAGGAGCCAGGATGGGCCTTACCTATCTGTAGTTTCTGAAACAAAAGCTTTAACACATATATTACTTGCTAGACTTAAAACTTTTTACCTTAAACTAAAATGTTCCTACTTTTGAGTCCCCTATCAGACTGACTCCCTTAAGTTTTTAACTATGAAGCTAGTCCATTTTGTCTCCAGAAAATTAATCATTAACAACTTCTGTATGTTAGAAGCTACTAGTTTTAGGTTTCTCTCCTCCATGAAAGTAGTAATTCTCCATATTCACCTGTCTCTCATTTTGGGAGTATTGGTTTCCCATATGATCTCAAATCTCTCATGGATATAAGAAATGTTGTTTTTCAGGGTTAGTTATTGTGAAGACAAGAGCTCTTTACAAATCAGACCAGAACAATCCATTCATTTGTGTTGTTCTGTATTTTTCCTTGTGACACAAAATCATTTTCACTTATTGATTCTACTGCTAATGACCACTATGTGGACAGTTTCAAAGTTTTTATTTTGTGACCAATGCATCTGGAAACATTCTCATACTGGGATCTCTATATTTGGATTTGTTTTCCTCAAAATATAAAAATTCCCTAACCTGAATACCTGTTTGTCACCCTATGGTGTAAGGGCTGACATTTGGGGATTTTCTTTGTTGTAATGCAAATGGACGACTAAAGCTTTGATTTGGGAGGCATCCACTTCAAAGTGGATCTTGAATAAACACACTGTTAGCCACAGGACTAGATAAAGAGCCCGGCCACCTCCCCTCACTGAGGCTCCTCTGTTCTAGAAATCTTAGTTTCGATTTCAGTAACTGAGCAACTTGTTTTCTCTCTCCACGCTTTAAATTCCCATTCCTGTGTTTTAAATTCACTGACAAAGAGGCAGCTCATGAAACACTAGGGCCCATTCCTAACTCCAATGCAAGCAAAACCCCAGGCCCATCAGCATGTGTTCTCTTTCCCTTTCTCCTCCCAGCAACCTTGTTGTACAGCCCCAGGCATGCTGTGTAATTTCCAGGTATCATAAATAATCTTTTTTTCAGTTCCTGATGGTTATTGCTGAAGGACATCTTCAAATCATAAGAACCACAAGAGCCAACTACAAAACATTCCCGAGCGCTGGCCTCCCATTGGTTGGAGTGTCCTCCCATACACCAAAATGTTGCAGGTTTGATCCCCATCAGAGCACATACCTAAGTTTCCAGTTCAACCCCCAGTTGGGATGCATGTGGGAGGCATAAAATCAATAATAAAATCCTCAGACGAGGATTTAAAAAAATACCCTAAAGACATTTTCCATGGGTTAACTTTTGTGGTATCAGTGCCCTTTTGGGAACAGTATTAACACCCAGACTAAAATAAAATTGGATCCCAAAACTGATGTCACCATATGCATCAACTGAATGAAAATGTTTATTACTCAAAATGTACTTTCAAAGGAGAAAACAAGCAAGGGTAAGCTGGTTCATTGATTTGTGCAAAGGTGAATGGGTTGGCCCTTTCATGTGTGTAAGAGTGGAAGCTGAGTGTTTTCAAGGCTTGGCCCTCCACCCGCTGACACACATAAAGACATGTATCAACTTCCATAACTTCTTTACCGATGATTCTGGGCCAGGCAAGATAAGCAGGTATCTAAAGCCAATTTAGAATCTAATATCAAAAAGGAGGTCAGAGTTTTATTAATGACAATTGAATAATGACACATTTCATTTAAATGTATTTGAACTCAAATATTAATTGAAAAGTGATGTGAAAAGCACAAGCAACATATAATTAAGATGACACCTTAAAAAATATTTGAATCTATTCATCCTAGGGTACAGGAAAAACCCAAAAAGTCAGTGTGGATCCTGAACTCTCTTCAAAAGCTTTATTAATGTTAATGTTTATTTTAATTTGTTGTGTTATAGGTGGCACCTTACCAGTGCAGCCTACCCCAATGTAGCAAGAAGCCCTTTTAAGGAAACAGAACTCTCCCTGGCTGCCAAATAAATAGACCGAAGCTAGCAGGTCCCCAGGTACCATGGCTGCAGGGAGTTTGTCCTTCATGAAAAACCTAAAAAACAAACACAACCCTCTAAAGTGTTTGTGTATTTAGAGTGCTTTGGAGATTTATTGACTGATATCAATGATGTTTTTGTTGAATGACATTATGTGTGCCCAAGTCAGTAATACAACTCCCATAGCAATGCTGAACTTAAAAAATCCAACCTAGGTGCCCATCAGTAAATGAATGGATCAAAAAACTATGGTACATTTGCACAATGGAATTCTATGCAGCAGAAAGAAAGAAGGAGCTCCTACCCTTTGCAACAGCATGGATGCAACTGGAAAGCATTATGCTAAGTGAAACAAGCCAGGTGGTGAAAGACAAATACCATATGATCTCACCTTTAACAGGAACCTAAACAACAAAACAAAGAAACAAGCAAAATATAACCAAAGACTCTGAAATAGAGAACAGACTGATAGTGCTCAGAGGGGAGAGGAGAGGGAATTTCAGGGGAAATGGGAAGGGTTTACAGGAACAAGTATAAAGGACACATCGATAAAAAACTAGCAGCAGGTGGAAATGGGAGGGAGGAGGGGAGGGCTGGGATGGAAGTAAAAGATAGAAAATTGTACTGCAACAACAATTAAAATAAATTTTTTAAAAAAGAGAAAACTACAGGAGCAAACACAGGGGAAAAAATCCAACTATTTAACTAGTAAAGTGTGTTTATTTGGTAACAGCAGAGAACTGTATCTTGGTGCAAACACACCAGAGCAAAATCTATAGGCAGGTTAAACAAACAAATGAGAAAAATGTTACTTTATAGAGAAAAAGGAGTAAGTTTGGAAGGGGTGCTTTGAATCAAAGTCCATTGGAGGCAAGTGGAGGCAAAGTCCATTGTGAGGACTCTTCAATGACTGAGTTTTCACAGTTCCCAGTGGGTGGTCGTGTTGCTGGGTTAGGAGAAATCTTACACCTGTTTGGGTAGTAAAAACACTTTCCTGCTAGAGTGCAAAGTATGTCTCTTCCTGTTATATTACATATTTTTCATTCATAGGGTTTCTACATAGTGTGAGTTTTTTGTGTCTGTATTTTTGTGTCTCTGTGGGCTTTACCACATATTTTACATGTATAGAGTTCCTCTCATGTGTGAGTTCTTTCATGCTTTCGAAGATCACTGATATACCTAAATGCTGTACTACATATTTTACATTCATAGGGTTTCTCTCCAGTGTGAGTTCTTTCATGTCTTTGAAGATCACTGACATACCTAAATGGTGTATTACATAGTTTACATTCATAGGGTTTCTCCACAGTATGAGTTGATTTGTGTCTTTTTAAAGACCTGAAAGATATGTAGGCTTTACCACATTTCTTACATTCATAGGGTTTCTCTCCAGTATGAACTCTCTCATGTATTTTAAAAGTCCAGTGGTCTCTGTGATTTTTACCACATATTTTACATTTATAGAGTTTCTCTCCAGTGTGAGTTCTTTCATGTCTTCGAAGATCACTAAGATACCTAAATGCTGTACTACATATTTTACATTCATAGGGTTTCTCTCCAGTGTGAGTTCTTTCATGTACTTTAACATTTCTGGAAGACCTGAAGGCTTTACCACATATTGGACATTCATAGGGATTCTCTTCATTGTGGGTTCCTTCATGTTTTTCCAACCACAATAGGTGACTAAAGACTTTATCACATTCTTTACATTTATAAGGCTTCTCTCCATTTTTTTGAAATTCATATGCTTTGTATCCAGTGTGACATCTGTTGTGCCTACTAAGGGATGAACGGGACACAAAAACTTTTCCGCATGTTCTGCAGTCATGCTGTTTCACTCTGGTGGTTTTTTCCTTCAGACTGTGATTTGAAATAAGGCTGAACTTTTCTCCACATGGATTAACCTGTTTACTTTCACAGATTCTCACTACCCTTGGACTTCTTTAAAAAATAAGAAGCACATTATTAATGATTTCTTTATTAATTTTATATTAATTGTATTTATTATGAATTATAGGAAAAGTATAGATATTCTGTCTTGTCTGAAAATATACTGAGTCTACGGTCATACCACCCTGAATGTGCCTGATCTCATCTGAAAATATACTGAATGTTCTCCAAGACTTTACCCTTGTTATTATAAAACTGAGATATTCACATATCAAGTTTATTAATGCTATTTCCAAGTGAACTATTTAGTAAACACGGAACACAGATGTTACATTTAAGAGTGTACTTTTAAATTTTTTTCTAAAAAGAATACATTTGAAGCAGAGTTTATTTGTTTGTTTTGTTTGCTACATATTTAAAACATTTCACAACATATTGGGTTGGCCAAAAAGTTCATTTAGTTTTTTCCATAAAATAAAAGACACATTTTTCACTTTCACCAATAACTTCATTGATTTGAATATTTTGAGTATGTTGGTTATCTCCCATGTGGTATAATGTTGATTGTTCTCAATTAATGTCTTGATTTGACCACTATCAACTTCAATTGGTCTACATGATTATGGAGCATTGTCCAGGGAGAAATCTTCAGCACAAAACTCTACAAACCACTTTAAAAAAAAATATTTATTTATTTGTAGACAGAGGGGAAGGGAGAGAGAAAGGGAAGGAGAGAAACATCAATATGTGGTTGTCTCTCATGCTGCCCCTACTGGGGACCAACCCAGGCATGTGCCCTGACTAGGAATTGAACTGGAGACCCTTTGGTTCACAGGCCATTGCTCAATACACTGAGCAACACCAGCCAGGGGTGCAAACCATTTTTTGACACATTTGGTCAGTCACAGTCTTTTCCATACACTGTACAAATCTTTTTTCTTTTTTTTTGCATTTCATTTGCGTTTTTACCTTTCTTGAAATAATAAAACATAATGTGCTGAAAATGTTGCATATTTCCTTCCATTTTCAATATTAAAATGGCTACACAAAAATTCACCAATTTTGATTTTTTTTTTTTTAATGCACACTGATCTGGCAGCTGTCACAATATAATCTAACAAAACTGTTTCGAATGAAGTTAAAGACAAGTATGTGCAAGCAGAGCCATCTTATGGAAAAAAACAAACTTTTTGACCAACCCAATACTACAATCCTCCTGAGATACTTTTCTCTTGCAAGTGTGACTCACCTTAATTTTCTCCTCTGCTTTTTGTACTGATTTTTAATGTCATGTTCTTCCCATCTTTTTCCTAAAAAGGAGACCCAGAAAAATGATTTTAAAGAATTAGAATGATAGCTTGGAGCAATTTATTTGCTCTGAGATCATGAAGTACTGTAGCCATTCCCAGATTATTTACCAGCATCTTCCTTTTCCACATTACAGATCTTGAAACAACATTGTTGAGCAAGAAATTCTTGTTCTCTAACTGATGACTGAAGGAATGTCCTCATCCTTACCTATGGAGGCCAGGTTCCTGAAGGTTTCTGTCATTACATCTCTATAGAGCTTCTTCTGTGAAGGATCCAGTAAAGCCCACTCCTCCAGACTGAAGTTCACAGACACATCCTCAAAAGCCAGGGAGTCCTAAAACACCCCAAGTATATAGTACAGTAAAATGTGAGACATTTTGCACTGGGCACCTAGACTCCATTTACAGAAAAGTTACCTAAGACTCTCTTGTCTCCAAACATTTATTCTATGACTTGGTCATTGAAAAGTTACTTTCTCATAAATTTAACAGCATTTTGAACACCTGGAAATTACTTACAAATTCTTACTGTGCTCATAATACATCTTCTGATCAGCATGGGAGTTTTGACCTGTTCCATTTCCAATCCTGGCCTTCACCTCTCCTTAGGCAACCTTGTGGCCCCACAGCTCCAGGGAAACCACCATATTGATGCCGAACTTAGTGCAGACATCTGATTGGCATAGAGCACTACAGCCCAGAACTCCTGGGCTCAAGCAATCCTCCTGCCTCAGCCTCCCAAGGAGCTGGGACTACAGGTGTGCACCACTGCACTTGGCATAATGCATCTTATTTCTCTGTAATATCAGAGTCTTGACCATTTTTGAAAATAACAGAAATGCCATACAGCTGAAACATGTATTATCATTTTAAGACCATTAATTTCTCATGAAAATAATTCTTTCATCTGCTATCACCCACCATTTATAGCGATCCACAAAGCAGAGGGTTAAATCTGCATGATGTTTCAATAAATAAAACATAGTGAAAAATTGGGAGCCTTTCCTTCTATTCCCATAACCCAACATGAGAGTCCAGGGAGCCTGTGAAAATCACTTTCAACAAAGCCAGCTGATGTTGTCCTAAAGTCCAGGCCTTTACCAGTAATCAGATGCACTGGCTCAATGCAAATATGCCTGTGCAAAAGTATTGCTTGTAATTTATGTAGTATTTATCACAGGCTCAGTTCTTCTTTTCCCTCTCTGTTCAGTTTAGTGGGGCTTGAAGGTTATTTGAAACTTAGAGCTCAGACACAAGAAAGAAGCCATAACAAGTTATACCACAAAATACCAGTAACTCATGCTCAGGGCTGCTTCCTGCCAAATTCTAAAACACATAGTGAGAGAACAGACCAGGAGAGTTCTTTCTGGTCAAAACTCATGGGGTACCCTGGGCCTCACTGCCCTTGAGTAACAGGTTAAGAGCTGCGGATTGCCAGGGAATTCACTGAAGTCCATGTGGTCTGATGGTGATTTTGGTCATGATTACAGAACACATAAAAGGTTCAACAGTCCTTCCTTTTAAAAGAACACAAAATTTCCATTCTCCAATTTCAAAGAAAAATTTTCCTGACAAGTCACTCTAGAGGCTGACTTGCCACCTTCTGGTGTGGCACTTAGAGAACTTCAGAGCTGCCATTCTTGATCTCAATGAAAAGAAAAAAAAAAACACGCCCTGGCTGGTGTGGCTCAGTGGATTGAGTGCTGGCCTGCAAATCAAAGGGTTGCTTGTTCGATTCCCAGTCAGGGCACATACCAGTATTGCGGGCCAGGTCCCCAGTTGGGGGCATGTGAGAGGCAACCCCACACTGATGTTTCTCTCTTTTTCTCCCTCCCTTCCCCTCTCTATAAATAAATAAATAAATAAATAAGATCTTATTTTAAAGAAAAATGGTGAAATAAACTATTATTCTTATATCCATCAGAGCCTTGAGGTTACACCTTATGGGTACTTTTCTTTCCAGCACTGGAATCCTGGGCTGGGGTGCCTGAAGTGGGGTTAGGACTCCTGCTTCTCAGAGGGGCCTTCCACAACCGACATATTTCTCCCCAATTTTTAAACACCACATGTGGATGTGCTACCAGCTCATTCAGTGTCTCTGCCCCTTGAACCAGTCTCCATATGGATTCTTCTGTATATCCTTATGTATAAGAACTATCCAGCTAAATTTGAGGTGGTTCTCAATGATAGTTGTTCTGTCGTTTGGTTGTAATTTTGATGTAGTCAGGGGAGAATGCAAGTATTGATTTTATATACTCCACCATCTTGGTGGAAAACACTATTAATACAGCTACTTTAACTGAAACACCCTGGCCAGGTGGCTCAGACTGTTGGTAGCATTGTCTGATGCACCAGGTTTGCAGGTTCAATATCTGGATGGGGCACATACAGTAATCAACCAATGAATGCATAAATAAAGTGCAACAGCAGGTCAATGGTTTTTTCTCTCTCTCTCTCTTACTAATTCCCTTCCTCTCTCTTTAAAGTCAAATAAAAAAAGAGTTCATTGCTGATCTTAGCAAGAACCATTAAAAAATCATCAGAAAAAAATATGAATGATGAAGGTAGAGGATTAGAAAAAAATGACTGTTGAAAGTGAATAGAGCCCTGGCTGCTGTGGCTCAGTGCTTGAGTTCTGGCCTACAGGCCAAAGGTTTGATTCCCAGTCACGACACATGCCTGGGCTATGGGCCATATTTCCCAGTTGGGGTCATGCAAGAGGCAACCAACTAATGTTTCTCTCCCTCTCTTTCTCCCTCCTTTCCGTTCTCTCTAAAATAAAATATTAAAAAAAAAAAAGAACCCTGGCTGGTGTGCTTAGTGTATTGAGTGCCAGCCTGTGAACCCAAAGGTCACCAATTTGATTCCCAGTCAGAGCACATATGCCTGGGTTGCAGGCCAGAACCCCCAGCTGGAGGCATACAAAAGGCAACAGATCTATGCATCTCTCACACATCAATATTTCGCTCCTTCTCTTTCTCCCTCCCCTCTCACCCTCTCTAAAAATAAATATTTTTTTAAATTTTAAAATAAAAAAGAACCATCGATTGGTTGCCTTCTCCTATACACCCCTACATACCCCAACCCAGGATCAAACCCGCAACCCGGGTATTTGCCCTGACTGGAATTGAACCCACAACCTTTCAGCCTATAGGATGACACCAACCACTGAACCACACCAGCCAGTGCTTATGTAAGCCTTGGGAAAAAAAAATCCTCAAAACCTGTAGCTAAACTCATCACATTTGTATCTCATGACATGAGTGTCTATGTGAAACACCAGAGAGAACTCACAACAAAAGAGAACTTTTGAAATAAATGGAATAATTGAAAAATACACAAGCCGACAGCTTTCCTATAGAGCCACATGGATACACTCAACTGACAAAAGAAGAAAAGCAATTCAACAGAAAAAGAAAGTCTTTTAAACAAATAGTGATGGAGATAAAGAATACCCACATACAAACACACAGAGAAAACAAATAGAGACAAAGACCATACATGTTTTACAAAAACTAACTCAAAACACATCAGAGACCTACATGTATAAAGCAAAAGTAATAAACTCCTACATGATAACATGAGGAAATCTAAGTGCAAAAGAACAATGAGGCACTACACATTTATTAAATGGATAAAATTTAAAATGCTCAGAACACCAGATATTAATGGAATGTGAAGGTAATCCACATTCATTGCTGGTGGGAATGGAACTGGGCATGCCTACATTGGAGAAAGGAACTTCCTTTCATTAATGAATGTACTCTTACTACATATGGCTAAGGTCCAGCAATTACACTCCATAGTATAGACCTAAAGGAATTAAAACCTTATGTTTATACAAAAACATGTTCATGAATTATTTGCAGTTTATTCATAATTGGCAAGAGTTAAGAGTTAAGCACAATGTGCTTCAAAAGGTAAACAATTAGTGGTAAACCTAAATGACAATCAGTGGTAAATCCAAACTATGAAATATTTTTCAGTGATAAAAAGAAATGGGGTATTAAGCCATGAAAACACAGGAGGAACCTTAAAAGAGCCATGCTAAGTAAAAGAAGCCAATCTCACAAGGCCACACACTGTATCATTCCAAATACATTACATTTTAGAAAAGACAAAACTATGAGCCAAAAAAAAAAAGTACAGTGCTACATCTGTACTCGTCATTAATTCGTTCCGGAACTCATGAGGAATGCTGAAACCAATGAGTACTAAAGCATTTTCTCTCACAGGATGGCGTTGTGACTCACACAAGTTCTAACAAGTGCTACAAGTCCCAAGCAAGAGCCACGGGCTGAAACATCTTTTTTCTTGTCAAAATGCAATCAGTACAGTTTGAGAGTTCTGAAGCTGATGAGTACCCAGGTATGACTGTACTCTGGGTTTGAAGGATTTAGGGGCTGGAGGGAGAAATGATTGAATAACTGGAGCATAGGAGATTAATGGGAAGTAACACTACAATAAAAAATATAAAAATGATAAATACACATTATTACACATTTGCCCAAACCTATAGATCCCATAACACAAATAGTCAATGCTAATATAAAGTATGCACTTTAATGCATCAATATTGGCTCAGCAATTCTAACAAATGTACCACAGTAATTCAACATGGAAACAGTAGTGCAAAGTCTATGGATGCACAGGGGAGTTGTGGGAACTCTGTACTCTCTGATCAATAATTCCATAAACCTAAAACAGCTTTTTAAAAAGTCACATCCATCAAACACTAAAAAAAGATGCAGACAGACTCATTACAACTCACCCCTGATGACTGCCTGATGGATAAAACAAGCCATGTATCATTAAACTGATATGAACTTATTTCAGTAAGCCAGCAGGGTGCTCTACAGCCTGAGACCAGCAAGGGAGGTGAAACTCCCAAGGAATGCCCTTGTTGGGGAGTGTGGCACTGTGTATTCTCAGAAGTGCCAAGGTTACTATCAGTAGATTCTGGAACTCCAATGTGGATCAGCAGTTTCCTGGTGAGTCCTGGTATAGTGGACTTAGTAATATACAGACAAGTGTTACCTGGATTTATATTTTCAGCATCTGACTCAAGACATTCCCAGAGTTCTTTTACCACAGAAAGGCAACTCTTAGACAACAGTCCTAGAGTCTACGAACATATACTAATGGGCCAACTATGGGCCAGTAGTAAGATGACTTCCTGACACTTGGTTAGCAGTGGTGACCCTTGGGTTCTGTTCTTTATCAGAAATGTTCCCAGTTAAGGGGTAAATACCAGCAACTCTTACCAGCAACTCTCCACTGAGCTTGGTCAAGTACAAATGTGTACTGTCCTCCTGAAAAACTATGCACTCCCCAG